CTAAGTTTTCAAAAAATAAATATTGACCGGCGATCAAAAAATGTTGTTTCACAAATGATTGTAAAAACTGCTAATAAAATGTTTCTTTAATCTTAGAAAACGCGAATACTCTTAGGAAATAGGTACAAACAAGGAAAATGCGTTTTAAAATTATAAAGTGTAAAATAGTGTTTAGAGATATTCAGATTTTGTCTCTCGGATGTAAACATTGGTTTCTTGAAGAATTCTTGATTATTTACAAAACATTTACATTTTCAGGAGATCCGGTTTGAAAAAATATCTAGTATATTTCTGAGGTTAGTAGTGTAGTGGAAATGGAGCCGTGGTACTTTCTTTTTTCGTAGTACCTAGCTAATTGGCTTGAAGTTTGCCTTCCGATGATCACAGCACAGATAGCCCATTGCGCAGTTTATGTCAAAACAAACAAATAAATGGTCGGTACTTATTAGAATTCGTAACAATTTACGCATCACTTTCAGCGTAACAGCGAAATATGTAACAAAACTAATAACCCAACTTCACGCAGTTTTCTGGCACTTTTGTCACACGTATTAATGACACATCGCAAAAAAAAAAAAAAAAAAAAAAAAAAAATAAATGTGCTCGGACTCACTTCTTTTCTTGTTAACTGTCAACGTTCGAACATTCAATCGATAATTTACATATGAATTTTAAAACAAATTCTTCACGTGCAATATACCCACATTTTAAGATCAAAGATTTGCTGGTTCATAATCTAATTTTCGGTTTCGTTCCTAAGTTCATTGTATTAAACTTAAAACCTGTTTTAAATACTAGAGCTTATAAAATTGCCAGTTGTTCTTTTGCTTTTCACTTAGATGTAACTAATATCAAGAATACTTTACTGGTAAATGAATAAATCAAATTACTGACTCTGTAAATACCGAGCTCGAACGTATTGTTCTAAGGTGCGTTTTGATTTAAGCGTTTGTATTATTGCTACGTCAAAGGGGAATGTTGATGTAACGTGACGAGTGAGTGGCTTAAAGTTTGGAATTTTCTTGAAAATTTAGGAAATATTATGAAAGCATAAAAACATGAGTTAGCCAAGAGTAGATTGAGTGTATGTTAATTGATTTGCGAGTGTTACAGTTGATTGATTATTGAATTAGTCAATTTGTAAATTTTGAGTTTCTGTTTTCAGGAGAAACTAAAAGTACCGTAACACGAAAAATTTAACAAGTGGAATATCTGTTGTGATGTTATTTATTTATGAAGTTAGGCTTATCGTTAATTACGTGAAATTTGTAAAGGTTGTTAGAATTTGTGGTTGAAGAAATAAAACTTTTGTCATCATTACGTAGACTGGACTTCACATTCTTTTTTCATCAAATAAACCAAAAGAACCCATTTAACAAAAGAAAACATTACAACATCAATGTCAGAAGTGGGATTTTTTTGGTTATGATAAAATCAAGACTAACCTTCATGATGTTTGAAGTTAGGTTGAAAATAATGAAACAGTAGAAACACGACCGAGAGAGAGAGAAAAAGAGAGACAACAATTTAAAAATCAGCATAGACTTCATGTTTCTGGTAATAGTATTTAGAACTATAATAAAGACAACTAGATGTAATTGGTTAAGCATGAAGAAAACTAGGCTTTTTCTGTGTCATGACAACCTGGGGTGAGCTCAATCATTGAGGGGTGTAGGTTCTCAAGAACTGCCAACTCTTCTTCACCATACTTTTGGTTTATGAAGCTTTTGAATAAAAAAAAAAAATCTACTTTTGCTAGGAATTTTGTTATTGTATAAATGTACTTTTTAATTAATAATGAAAAGTAAAATTTCAAATAGAAAATAACTGCACATCATATGGTCTCATCTCTCTCTCACTAGAAAGGAGTGGTTATAGCTCAGTGGTTAGCATGTCAAGCTGCAGATTGCAGGGTTCGAACCAGGATGCCACTGAGCATGCTCTACGCTTTCTATTGTTTGCGAGCATGCTATAAAAGTATTAGTTAATTCCATTATTTAATTCAAACAGCCAGACAGAGTAGACATCAGTACCGGGCTACCCTCACAGTTAGTGATGCCCATACTGAAATGTCATATTCTATAAAAACCACCTCTACCAAATGTTCATTTACAAACCTAAACTGAACGATCAAACATTTGCACTTTGGTTTCACATGACAGATCATCAGATGTCTAAAGCAACGTGTGTGAGCGTGAATTTTGGGTGTTCACATAAGGGCTATCTACATTAGTTGTCCCAAAGTTGATCCGATAGACTAGAGCAAAAGGGAACTAGTCAACAGCATACACGATCAACTCTCAGGCTCCTGTAATTTAATTTAACTACCATTCTTACATAGTACCCACGACCACAAAATGTAGAGTTGCGATTTTTTTTTTTCTCGTGGTAACGGAAAATTCGACAGTCCATTAGATTAACCACTACACCACACCCGCCCCGAAAATTGGGTAACTGATGTTATTTTATAGCTATGATTTTATCCTGTCGTAGTCAAAATCTTATGAATTCCAACTATTGTTTAATTTGTTAAGTGTACTTAACACAAAAATAAAAACGTTTACTCACATACAAGTTTACTATTTTGGCTTATGATGCCAATTTCTACATGGTAACCACCCCCTTCCATCCCCCAGAATGAACAAGATAGCTCTTGCAGAATATCAGGAACTTCTACCAAGATGTACATTACAAAGTAATCCTGAATTTTCTGACCTTCTCCAAGTTCACGAAAGAATGACTGCTTTATTTACTAACATAAACAGTGTGCGCGCATGTGTAGTTCCACTGAAGAGCTGTTTATTCTCTCTGAATAATATATACATGTTGAAAAGCTATGCTCTATAACTTGAAAATCAAGCTAAATGCGTTGAAAAAGCTCTTTTATTTATTCCAGTTGGAGAAAACATTGTTACACACACACACACTTGAAACTATATCATAATTTAAAAAGGTCACTAGCGCTATCCACGTTGCTGTCTACACTTACAGTATGTGTAACCTTGTAGAAACCCTTCTTACAGGAAAACAAAGGGTGGCTCATTAAACTCTGAGGTTTACAATACAACAGAATTCCGTCTATAATTCTGAGTTTAGAAAATAGATTTGTTTCGAAGAGCTTGTTCTTGTTCTGCTTTGATGATTGATTGTTATTCTGTATCTTGGATTCAGACACATCAGTTGTCAAGAATGGATCTCTCCTCTTGCATTGGACCTTTTGGCAGAAAGGAACGATACTGCCACCCAGCTTTTTGATGACACACGCGTGTAAGTATACAAAAAAATGTCAAGTACGTATTCCAGAGTCATAGTTACATCATTACACACAACAAACAAGCACTTGTCAAACCTCTGGCAGTAGTATCCACAGTGTTGGTTCTTGGTCCAGACTATATTCATGATTGAAATAATGATGTAGTATTTCTAAAATGTTCAAAATATTTGTGGTTGTTATGGACAGAGGATTCAGGGATGCGTTGGATCTTCTTCACCAACTGACTGTGAAAACACAGATTATTTTCTTTTTTTTTTTTTTGTCAAAGGTGGGGTGGGAAGAGTAACTCAGATCTGCTGATGGGGGAGAGGGCAAAACTGTCCAGAGACCTGGCAATTGAAAGGGGATTTAATGGATGGTATGCATAATTTTAAAGAAAGAAAAAGAGAGATTTGCAATAAAAAAATTTCTCCTTTCCTGCCATTATTAATAAGATAAAGTCATAACAGTCAGCAGTCCTATTCAAGTGGCCCACTGACAATTCTTTCCTGGGGCCCAGAATTGCTGGCAAAAGGTCTGATGTACTTAGTTTCCTAAAAATGAACGAGTTTAAGGCTTTTCAGAAAAGTGTGATGGATATCAAATACAATAAATGGTTACATACAACAGTGAAACCACTGAACAGATACTTACCAATCTGTGGATTCCTTTTGTGTAAGGGGATTATGTCAGAATTTTCAGTGTTCTTTGAAACTTTTATCAGCCTGCTCTTATAGAAGATATTAAAAGAGATCCAGTTTATTTGCTTCTCGGTTCATTTTCCTGCTTTAGTAAAATTGGCAAGCATAATACAATAGTACTTAACACTAAAAAGTACTTCCTAAAGTGTTCCTCCCCTCTCCTTCTTACTTGACTGTATCTGCTTATTATTTTTCTTGTACAAAATAAGTTATGAAAAGAAGTTTCCCTTACTGTAGTGATAATATGACACAATCAAAGTGGCAAACAATACTGTCCTTGTGAAAGGCAGGAAGTATTTGAATCATGTCAAAAAGCATTACTAGACAATGTAGCAGAATTCCATGCAAATGTGCTCTATTGAAGTCAGATATTTTTCATTGGACCATAATTTCTATCAAACATTTTCTTTTTTTTTCCTGATAATTAAGCAGTATCAACACTCCCAACCTAATTATTTCAGAAGTTCAAGCCTTCTGACCAGTTATTCATCATAAAAATATGACCATTTATACAAGATTCATCTCTTCCTTTCAACTGAATATACTTTCTTCACTGTTTTATCAAACAATAACTTTTAAAACTAGGAAATTTTAGATATTAGCATACAGATACACAAGAAAAAAAAATCAAAACTTACACTGAACTCCAGAGAAAGGTTTGTCATGGTGAAATGTTGATGAAATATAGTAAAATTTTCTGAACTTGAGCTGTCAGGCAGAAATGTTTTCATTTATTAATTAAGGTGTGTAACTCCAGTTTCGTTTTTCTTTTACTTTAAAAATACATTAACAAATTCCTAAAACTTGTAACAACAAGCTTTTTTTTTTTTGTAATTACCAAGCCAATCAAAACACATGCATGCTATGCTAATAACATTAAACACAGCCAGTTATAAGCTATGTTATTTTAACTGTCAAATGCATCAATACATTAAATTTCAGGAATGTCCACTGGAATTTTAAATGTCAATTTTTGCAAGAATCTAAAAACAAAGTTAAATGTAACTGAAAGTAAGGAAGGGGGAAAAAAAAAATCTAACATTTAGGAAACTAGCAATTATATTGTTTATTTGACCAATTCTACAGTGAAAGGAAAACAGTACGACAAGCAGTTTTATGCACGAAAGCAAAAAAAACGTGACAAAAAGTTGATCCATAATCTATACATGTGGAAATGTACCTATCAGATATATCACCAATTTAAACAATATCTAAATATGGAAACAATTAAGTTTAAACCCCCCTCGTTTAACCAAAAGCAACTCAACGTGGTAACACTTCATAGATTGAATTAATTTTCTTTCTACACTTGAAAACTAACAACTACTGTTTGAATGTAGGATATTATTCACAAAACTGCACCTTTCAAAGTGAAATAAATATGCTAACCAATTTATATGATACAATTTAAGTACTACTTAAAGAGATAACTCTGAAAGTGAAATAAAATACAGTGGAACCTCAACATTAAGGGCACCCTTCTGACTGCATCTAAATGTCCTCCATATCAAAAATGAGACACCCAAAGCTGGATTCCATATTAACCATACAAAATTTTGCAGGACACTGGTGGTGTTTGAGAGTTGCACATTGCCACGACATGGAGTGTTGTCAACAGGGGGTGGATTAGTTTTTTTTCTTTAAGTAAGTCTCTTCAGAATTTGAACAGCTAAACACTGACAGTTCCCCAAAGTAATAAGATTCACTTTGGATCTGTGAAAACGTTTATTACAGTGTATGGTTTGGAGCCAGTCCAGTAAACATCGCAAGTGTTTGAACATTGGTCATTCTTATGGGAATGTTTGGAATTTAGTGGTATACCAAACAGGCATACAAAGATAAGTGCCTGCTTTATCGAGTGCCCGTACAGAGAACGAGACTAAAGACACTACCCTTAATCTGGATATCAAGGTACCCGTTATTGCAAGACTTATTTTGGTTACAGATAGTAGAAAAGAAAGAAAGACTGAAAAGGTTTGCCCTTAATGGGGCAGTGCCCAAAAATAGAGGTTCTACTGTACCGTTTTTAAAATATAAACTAAGTGGACATTAAATATTGTTAGTCTTCCCGTTTTAATTTACCTTCCAAAATACAATACATTAGATTTAAGTATCTTTGAAAATACTTGTTGAAATCAAATGTCTTAAATCAATACAACTTTGTTCTCCAAAAATGCCGTCCGATTTAAATAACAAATTTCCAGTTTCTGAGGAAAAGGGGTAAATACGATTCAAAAGAGCCAATGTTAAACTGTAATAAATTTACCTTGTTTATGAAGGACTCTTGATTACAGATTAATTTTATTTATGTTTATTCAGAGAGAGAAGAAGAAGAAGAAGAAGAGAGAATAATTTACCTTGTTTATGAAGGACTGTTGATTACAGATTAATTTTATTTATGTTTATTCAGAGAGAGAAGAAGAAGAAGAGAGAGTACCTGTAGACTTGGTCCTTTACTTAGTAGTTGTTATAAGAAATAACGAGTATGTTCTCCCGAGATGAACATGAAGAGTAACTTAAAATGCAAATGATGTGAATTCACAATTAAATTAAAAAAAAAAATTCATTATTTAATGTCTAAATTATTTTAATAAGATAACACTACACAGTTTATTAATGACTGGAATAGAGAATCAAAATATCCCAGGACAATAAATAAACGTTAAGAAAAACACTGAAGCACAAGTACATTATCTGGAATATACACGTTTCTTACAGACTAATTTTCAAATAGTGTAGAAATAGTTCTCATTGGGCTTAAGTTGAGGATTGAGCAACTTTTAACTGTTTGCGTTAGTAAAACTACACATCAGGAAGTTTTTGCTACAAGTTTAATGCTGTTTAACCCACCGACTGCCAATTCACCGTGCAGGTTACAGTCTGCTTCCTGCAGTTGAATGCAAGTGTGCCGTATAGTGTGTACAGCTTGCAAAAGTTCCACACAAGTTTGGAGCAGCCGCAGTCAATGGGTTAATGCTCTTTACATTAACACTAACACTTAAAGTGATACTAGAAGCTACAGAGCTATACAAGATACATTATAAAATTTTACAGAAAGCCAACATTCTGGAAAATAACTGTTAGAAAACACAAATTCTACTAACACTGTTCAAAAAAAACTCAGTTGATATTTACTTACATGGAACTCCACAAATCTAAGCATTTATGATATAGACTAATCATGTAACAAGTAGACTTGGCTCCTATCATAACTTTCAAAAGGCAGTACTGGTCAAGATACCAACTTCCTGTTTATTACTCAAAAATTCAGGTACCATGTTGGTCAAGGTTCCAAAATTCCAGTCTGTTTTTGTTGTTCAAGTTGTGAAGAGTTAAACATATATATAAATAAGGAAAGGACTTTTTTCTTCTTTCTTTTTAAAAAGTTATTTTCAGCTTATTTTAATTAGTCATTAATACCTTGCATTTCCTATATTGACTGACTTCTAAGATATTCTATATGTATAGACTTAGAAAAAAGACAATTATAAATGGGAAGGATACTAATGCAAGTTTTAAATGGCAGGAAATCTATCTCCTATCATTTTCTCTTTATACTAGCATCAAATACATCTTCCTTCTGAAATGTGTATAAGCAATTTTTTCTAGTACCTTCCAAGTTTTACTACAAGAACTATAATGCTAACCAGCAATTTCCTAGTTCACTAGTTAGTTTTGAGACCTGTAGTTTAACAACATTTGTGTCTACAAAATAAAATAAAAATAACTGGATTTGGTTTAAGGGCTTTTCTTTCAAAAATGAATAACTGTATTTTAGATCTCCTTGGCTTACACCTCACAAACTTTGCAACATACTAAAAACTAAAATTCTTTACTCTTAGCACTGGCTCTTTAGTTCTCCAGACAATGGCAACACATGATACACAAACTCCTGTATACTGCTTTTGTTTACAGGTTGTCTCAAGTATCGTGGTAGTGGTTAGTCATTACAGGGAAGGAAAAAAAAAAAACCTCTGCCAGCCAAACTTGTTAGTCATATAACTCCATACAGATATAACCTTGGGATAATGTCTGACCAGCTACCACAATTTCTGGAAAAGTTAATGATTTATGGATGGAGATGACTTCTTGTCATTCGGTTTAGATGACTGGGGTCCATTAGTGGTTGATCCTCCACTGCCTGATGATGTGGAAGTTCGATCTTGCCCTGCAGCACCCGTGTGTGGCCCTGACCAGGTTGGCATGGCAGAAGTATTTGAGCTTGAAACAGAGGTCATTGGGTTATTGGAGTAGTCCTCACCATCTTCCAGCCCATTGGCTGCGGCTGTTGAAGCATCGTATTGCGTGTTTTCTAGACGAGTAATCAGTCGCTCATCTTCATCTCCAAATTCTCCACCCATTAGAGATGGTTCTCCAACAACCATAACATCCTTTAAATACATATAAATCTTATGTAGACATTCTAAAGTAAGGACACAGTTAAGTAAGTAAAGTAACTGAACACATCATTTATAAAACAAACTAGGATCACAATGTTTATACAAATACAAGATTTACACTGAATACACACAACAGATTTTGTAAAAGGTTAATTAAAAATACATCATTTAATATACAACATTTTGAGAGGTCAATCCCTGGAAGTTTCTTTAAAGACAGCAAAAGTTCAAGTTCATCCTATCTGTCCACTATCATATAACCACGTCAACAAATTTCTATCAGTATCTTTCTCTACGTTAATTTCTAACACTGAAGCAGCAAACAACTTTCTAATATATCAGATAAATAAATCAGTGTTCAATGACCAACATCTCTCACCAAAGCACCAGTAATTAGGTAGAGTGCAGTTACTTAGGTGAAAGTGCTAAAATGTTGGTCATTGATCTAGAATGGCCTGGGGGTGTGGTTTCTGAACCTGTTGTCTTAAATGTCTTGCTTTCATATAGAACACTTAATATTTATTTTTTGAAAATATTGGATTCTCTTTGCTCCCTATTGATTGTGCTTTCCTATGAAGGTCTTTAGCATGTCTTGCTAGCCATAAGTTATCTACAAGTGGGTGCAGTACACTAATGAAAGGTCAAGTATTTGTTTGTTTTTGTAATTTCATGCAAAGCTACTCGAGGGTTATCTGCACTAGCCATACATCCCTAATTCAGAAGCAATAGAGAGAAGATTGCTAGTAACTCCTATTGGAAACTCTTGGAATACTCTTTTATCAACAAAAAAATGGGGTTGATTGTTGCATCGTAGCACCCCCACGGCAGAATGAACAAGTGTTCAGTGATGGGATTTGAACCTGTGACTCAACAGGCCATGACAGGCCCTAGTCAAGTATTTACCACAAACCAAATAAATGCAAACACACATGTGGTACCATGGGCTTTTAATAATGGCTTTTGTTTTTAAAGAAAATGTGGTGTTCCACATTAGATAAAAGAAAAACACACACACACACACACACATAAAAAAAAACACACACATGCAAAATGTAACTATGCAATATAAAAGCCTAATTAACAACAAGATTATTTAAAGAAACGAATGTTTACATAACATGTAATTATGAAGACAGACCTGAGAAGCAAGAGAAAAGTTAGCAGGTCCAGGAGAGGTTGTATTTTTTTTCTTTACAGTTCCACCACCTGCTATTGAAGACTTCCTTTTGCGTCGTTTACTGGGAGGTCGCTGAGTTTCTGAAAAGACAAAAGAACAACCTTGATAATTCTGCAAGGAGAAAAAAAAAAGTAACTTGCAAACTGACTACAATTTGGTGTCGGTCAGTAAAGTTCACATTTAATACTCGCATAATATCACATACAGTCAGTGCTTCAAACTACTCCTGAAAGTGATTATGTATCTAACACTATGATCATTTTTAACATATTCTACAAAGGGACATTAACACCATGCACGAACAAAGGGGTTCAGCCAATTAGCAAGCTGATTGTGCTTCTCACAACATGTATTTGGCTTTCGATCTCGCAAATTAGACCCCCCCTCAAACTTTCTACATAGGGGCCTGAACATTCTTCATCCTGCTACTGCATAATGAGTTGTCATAGTTACTGCTGACACCACAGCAATATGAAAGTAAATTGAAGAGCCATCTTTCATTCTGATTATGCGATTTTGTTGTCTTGTAGTGACTAATGAACAAAACACACTATTTCATTTGTTTCTGAGCCACGGTAGTTACGACTACCAAAGACAGAACGGTAACATCATCCCACATCCTCTCCTTACCAAAATATAGCTGGAAGCATTACTGACAGATGTACAATAATGAACAAGTAAATTTCACCGTAACTATTGTTTTTTGTAGAGTAAATTTTCATTACTGGTTACAGCACTGTTGTATTTACAATGACGTCACAAGTGCAGTTCCTAAAATGTGATGGGCAAGGATACCTTGATACAGAGTTAAGGTTTATGGCTGTAGTACTACTACTCTCCCTTACAGTACTGTATCGTTGCTAATATTGGCACTCCCTAGTATTACTGTACTTCTCTGACAAGACTGTCAATTCTCCCGTTACTTGAATGGGAGTGCTGTGCTATTTTCCCAAACAGAGATAGTTTCCATTCTGTTGACTATGATGTAAGCTAGAAGAAACTGTCCTAAAAATACTTTTTGCAACATATCTTAAACATACTACCTGTAAAGTGTAGAAACCGACGTAATGAAACCATGTGTCCCATCTATACAGAGTATGAAAAAACTTAAAAGTATTCTATAAATTTCTATCATCTCCAGTTGCAAATATGAGAAAGAAGAAGAAAGAAAAAACCACGTGATAAACATAAAACAAGTTATCTTCAGTTTCAGATCAAAAACCTTTAAATATCTATTGTTCATAGTAAGATAGTGCATAATAGGATTATGTAAACTGAGTACTGGTAACCCAGGAATGGTTAAGTCTACAAGTTTTAAGTTACATTTTAAAAACATGCCAGAAATATACGACAGTTCCTTAGTCTTACACCACACCCAAACACTAAATACCTCAATGTCAGCATTGATGTTACATTCACGAAATGGGTACAAAATATTAAACTTTAATAATGATAATAATGTCAATCTTGCACAGATATCTCCTCTCATAGTTTTTGCTAACAATGACAATTTAAGTTGAACATTTTTGGTAATTTGTGTGTGTGCGAGATGTTGCTGATGACATAACTTTCATTTGAGGCATGGATATGCTGCTAGTTTCTCAGAAATACAGCTGACCCAAGTCATAACTTCATACTAGGTAGGTACCAGGCCTGTTGGAGAAAGACTATGATGAACAAAAATGAGAAGTCTCAGTTTTGGTTTTTGACTGGTTTTCAACTTTTTGAGATGCTCTGGATAGCTGAAAAGTGGCATATACACCAGATATAGAATTACTATGCCAGATAACTCTTCATATCTAGCTTCTGATGATCTGTAGAGAAGAAGATCCAGATAACTTTTGTATTGCATTAATACAGGTATTCATGCCATTCCTACATAGTGTGCTAGTGCACTATCCAATAAACCTTTCTTTGAACAGAAAGATAATCTCAGGATGCACATTCAAACATGAGAAATCAATAAAAGCTGGTTAAATATAACAGATAATGATACTCTGAAAAAGTGGTTTAGAAAATAAACACACTGAGCTACGAACATCAAAGTTTTAGAAGCACCAGTACAAAATACAGAAGCCTGAAAATAAAAGGTTTAATAGATTTGTTTAACAGCCTTTACATTTAACACTTATTCTGTACCGAAAACACTAACAGTTATTCACTTTCTGTATAAAAATTCACTATTACATACACTTTATGAATAAATACCTACTTTTCAAATCAAATAAAATATAACAGGTCTCCCAGTTGTTTTCAAGAAAGAGGTTTTAACATGAAACTACAGGTTTTGATAGGCTCATTACCCTACATACAATTTTCAAACCTGAACCACTGATCACGATATTATTTGGATCACTACTGCTTTCTTACATTTTTCCAAAGAATACTTGTAAAATAGGTTTTGTTTTCCATTATAGCGAAGACATTTATCTTTTTCTCCAAAGTCCCGTTTTCATCGTATTTTTTATAGAATATATAAAGTTGTACACTTGTGGTTAAGGTTGGTTGAAGAAATACTCGGGCTGTGTTCAAAAGGTTCATTTGCTACCCAGGAAAACAAAGATAGATTTAAATATTTGAAGGTTCATCAGGTGGCATTCAAGCAGTGACAGATTTTGTAAATTTTCCTAACAGAAACTGACGATGTCCGACTAGTAATCACACATTAAATGTCTCTCACATGGATGATTGAGTCTTTTGATTTGTATAATGACAATTACTTAAACAAAAATGTCATTTACCAGCTCCATCCTTGCAATAGAGAAGACCATTACTGTGGAACACAGTGTAGTACATTTAATAGCTGCATTGATTCGATAAAATGTACTGGATGTACAAGAAGTAATAAAAGATTTATTTTGACTAATGGATTCTTTTCATAGCTGCACCATCTCTACTTGCACTTTGTGATAGTTGAAGGTCCTTATTCATGTTTCTTTTTTTCTTTTTTTAACCGAAGTGTAACTTTGTTTTGTTGTTTATTTATTAATTGTGTTTAATTAATCAATAGTTTTGTGTTAGAAAGACTAACTATTAACCTTTGTGGAATGGTGACTGTTAAATAAACATTTGTTTTGCTCAAGTCAGCTGTAGTTCTTTTAATTGGTTGTAGTATGGTGTTCTTGCAATACAAGCTTACTCGTATAGCTACACAGTATCGCATGCAACATTAAGTGCGTGTACATCAATAACTCATTTTTTATTTAAAATATAAAAATAAGACTATTGTTCTATATAATGCATTTTTAAACTACACACAAATGTTTTATTTTGTTTATTAAGAATACCAGTAAAATACGTTTCAATAAAATATAAGGTAGTAGTTATGGAGGAGTATATCATACTCTCCATTACAGCCTAAAATAATTACAAGTTCTATAGGCCATTTCATAACAAACTAGACCAATTTCAAAATACAGGTTTAACAGGTTCACTGGGAGGTCTGTTACAAGAATTATTTTACAATGTCTATACCTTTTCATCAAGAGTACACACTGAAAATCATTATGTTTTATCCCATGACAAAATTTACTAACTTTATAGATCTAAAAATCAGTATTCACAGATACATTATTTGTCATTGTACTGCTAGTTTACAATTAAGTTAAAACCTTATTTTACATTATTTTCAAACAGGATACTATAATTTAAAGAAGTATGTAGATGAACTTAACTCTGGAAAATTAAAATTAAATAACAACAAGAAGAAGAAAAATGAATCAATGAAATGTAGAGTGACTTCTCTACGTGGTAAAGGTTTAAAAACAATTTTTCTGGGTTAGTATTTATTAGTGTTTTAGTCCCCCAAGACTGAAAGCTACTCTCTACTAAAAGTTGTGGCAAAGAAAACGGACATCAGAAAATCTTTCATGCAGAAAGTGTATGCAAATATTTATGAAAGAATGTGCAACTGTAAATTTTTCCACTGCCAATAGAAATAAAAAGCTTTTAAAACTTTTTCTTTTTTTAAATCACCACCACCACCACATAAAATACTGAGAAGAAAGAAATAGAAAGTTGTTAATTTTATTCAAAGCAGCGACCTTTTTCGATGACATACCTATGTCCGGAGGTGATTTTAGGTCATTTGGATGGCCGCGGTAGTTGGAACCTAGTGGGATTAACCAGTCAAATAAGCACATGTAACCAAACCCAGCCAATATGTCCAGCGTGCTTGACCCAAAGCAACTATGAAAGAATTACCAAGCACCAAACTATGGGCAAGCAGACATGTTTTACTGTAATTAGTACTTACTCAGAATTCTATAAGAATTTCTTATAACAATAAACGAAACCAATAAGTTGCCCCATTTTTTTTTTCTTTTCTAGTGGGTTTAAATAAAACTTTTAAAATAAAACATGAAATATTTAAAATTTATCATTCGATGAAATCAGAATTTAAATTTCAAGAATTTGTCAAATTATGATGCACATGTAACTTTCATAATTTTTTTTTTTTTTTTTAACATATGTTGTAATTTGTTTATTTATTAAAAAAAAAAAAAAAAAAAAAAATTATTTTCATATAATTAAAGGATAAAAGCTGTAATATAACAAGATCACTAAATACCCAAACATTAATATTTCAGAACCGTTTTTTTTAGAACAACATCAATAACACAGGTTCATAGTTTCATCATAACCTCATTTGTTACTTATAAATGAATACT